CAATAATGATAAAAAAACCCCAATCAAAACGTTTTTTTGCAAAACATAAACTTCTAGTTGAATCTCAAACTTTTTGTTGACGCTTTAAGTTTGTGGGTGACCTTCTAAGATTTCGGTTGACTTTCCAAGTTTTTGGTTGAACTCAAAAAAGATTTGAACTCAGAAATCACCAACTGGGGCAGTGGCGCAGGGAATAGAGAAGCCAAGCTTATAACCGAAAGGTAGCTGGTTTAACTCCAGGTTGGTCTCCACGTTGCACGTGTGTTCACATGTGTGACAGGTTAAATGTAGAGACTTGAAAGAAACCTATTATGCAAAATTCACTTTTTAAAAGTTTTTTTACTCAACTTTGGGTGTGTACTTCTTAAGAAAACAGTCCTAGGACCAAAAAAATGCACCGAAGGGCATATTTGCTGTAAGTAAATGTATTTTAATGTATATTAATGACAAGTTTTTATACATTTTGTGATGTCACAAGCCGTACGACAACCCACCAGAACCTGCGTTCAAGTCTCTTACCTAGCAAACCCCAGGTGAAGCTGCTCCTCCGTATAAAAAGCTGTCACGGTGTTGTTATGTAATGTGCAGCTCATTGTGTAACAAGCCTCCTACAGGACAGCGGGTAGAGTGTTGGACCAGAGAGTGGGAGACTAGGGATCAAGACCAACTTGGACATAAAGAATTCAATTTTTTATTTTTGTTTGTAATGAACATGTTTTCTCATGTACTTCTATTGTTTAGCTTATTAGTTTAGCCTTGTTAAAGCCTATTTGCCAAAGTTGAGTAAAAAAACTTTTAAAAAGTGAATTTTGCATAATAGGTCTCTTTTAGCCTAGGTAGCCGGTTCAACTCCAGGATGGTCTCCATGTTGCACGTGTGTTCACATGTGTGATAGGTTAAATGCAGAGACTTAAAAAAGACCTTTCATGTTTTCAAGTGTTTGCACTTTAAAGAAATTAGTTGAAAAACTGATGTTACAATACAAAGAGTTGGACGTTGTCTTGATATTTGTTAAATTTTATATATTGAGAAAAATGTTTAATAAAAAGAAGTCTATTATCAAAAAAACACACACAAAGTACCAAAAATTGGTACCGTTAAGTACCGGTACCGATTCCCAGGTACCGGATATAGGTACTGAATCGATTCTAAAGTCAAAGGTACACATCCCTACTCCTGGAACCCAGTTGGTGAAGGTGAAGGGGGAACCATCGTTCCACATCCACAGGTCCTCCGGTTAAAACGAGGATTTACATGTCAGATCTTTGACGATGACCTTTCCAAACTCTAAATCATCTCAGGAGTTTTAATCATACACAGTTTTTGTTGGCAAACTCCTCACCTGTACTGCGTTGGTGCCTCCTACCCAGATTCTGGTGTTGGTTCCTGTGGCTCTCACGATGAGTCTCCTGATGAAGCTGTACTGATCTGGTCCTTGACTGGAGGTCAGGTGTGTGTCAAAAAAATTGCAGAAGGACTGTGGAAAGAGTTGAACATACATCATGTAGTGTTGAAGAGTCTGAACAAGTAATGAAAGAAAAACTGCTTTTGATCCCTGAAAACAGTGTCAAAACCAATGTCCCTGCCCTGCCTTCTGTAACTCTGCTTTACTTTCTTGGTTTAAAACTAAAAAGTTTCAACCTTTAAAGTCTGAATTCAGACAAACATGAGACCCAAACACAAAGAAGAGTTAAAGAGTGGAACCTCAGCGTTGGCCCAGGTAGATTCAGTTCTTCTGAACAGGTAACAGCGTCCTTCATGCCCCGTCCATCTGTGAGGACAGCGTGGGAAGCCACAAGACCCTTCTAAACATATACAGGTCCTTCTAAAAAAATGGCATANATCACAAAGTGCTTCAACAAACAGAAATAAAAAAATAAAAATAAACAGAGCAAATTTAAACAAATACAGATTAAAAAAGGTAATTTTTAAACTAAGCTTTGAAGGAGTCCACAGAGTCTGCTGATCTTAAATTCAGAGGAAAAGAGTTCCAAAGCTTTGGAGCCACAGACAAAAAAGCTCTGTCTCCTTAAAGGTTTGTTTGTACTTCATGCAAGATGTGCGGCTGCGGCCCAGCGATGACGTAAAAGCGACGAAAGATGTGACGATATGAAATGTTCTGAGGGAACCGATGTACGAAAAACACGTGCAGCGCGACGCAGCTAGGATTGGAGGTCCACCCACTTTTCCAGAGTGTTTTAGAATGTGTTGCAACAACTTGGGGGGAAAACAAGGTCAGATCTGAAATACCCCACAATGTGTATTTAAACTAAAAAGATCCGCCATGTGAGACTGCATACGCAGTGGTGTTTCTGCAGACTCATGGTCATCGTATTTAGTTTTAGATTAAAGAATTTGCAAACAGTACTTCGTTATCAACACGTTTAACCATGTTTTTTTTTTTCCCTCTGAGGACTTTTCTTTTTTATTGATAAGTGACAGGGCATTTTAAAAATGCAGGTCATCAGCTAACCAAAAAGAACACAAACCTGATGGCCACAACCACTGGCAAGCATAATGCCAAATTCAAACAAACCCAAACAATAAGTAATCAGATATTGGTACTTCTCTAAATACTAAGATCAATTTTCCAAGCTCAGTAAGACAGATGGTCTAAACAGGTGAAGACCATAATAACCTATTGAAAAAAACGAAACACAAAAAGATAAGGTTTCAAAACCCAAACTGTGTAGACGCACCACACAAAGGCAAAACATTAATTATGCCAAAAACACCCATAGGTCAAACAACATCTGACAAAAGAAACATAATTCAAAAAGAAATAAAATTATCAGGTGCACCTTTAAAGCCAGAAATCAGTCACAAAAGGAAAAGATAGACAAATAAACAGAGCTAGCACTATTGTTCAGTGAACAATTGTAAATCAAAAACAACCCAATATAGACTTTGTCAAATAATATAAAAAAACCCAAGAGTCAAAATTAAAGGCTTTCCCACATGTGAGGCCTAAAAGAACTGAAAAACATTGTCGCAGGGACCAAAAGTTTTTTTGTTTTTCTCAAACAGATAATAAAATTAAAGAACTTGATGTGGTTCAAAACTGTAGACAAAATTTCCCTCTTTTCCCTTTTTTTTCCAAAATGTATGAGCATGTGTCAGTGCTTCACTCATCTTTTTATGGGAGGGTGGCGCCATTTTGGACTGCCTGTCCCCCGGCCCGTCCGCGCCCCCCCATTTGAAACCCGGCACGTAGCGGTGCTCGTACAGCCAGCTGTACTGCACACCCCACACCGAACCAGGTTCCCCCCCCCCCCCCCCCTTCAAAGTTGGTGGGTGGGCCAGTTTAGGGAGCACCCCAGACGCAGGCCGGAGGGCAGAGCCCAAAATCCACATAGTAATAAAAAATACAGAAACAAAAAGGATTATAGAAAAAAACTTCTACACTTATCAAAACATTCTTCAAAAATAATGCCAGATAGTTTGTTCAACAATTTACTTTGTCAAAGTTCATACTTTCAGAGCAGCTATGGTCTTGTTTTTTGTTCATGTCTTTTACTATTCATACAATAAAAAATAAAAGAAAGAAAAAGTTTCTTTTACAGAACATATGACAGCGTGCATGTGAGTTTCTCCGCAGCTGGACAGAGAACAGTCACTCTGTTCCAAGGTCTTTTGCTGCTGTTGCATGTTGAAAGAATGTTGCAGGGTGGGTTAGTGTTAGGCAAACAGGCAGAAATGACAACATTATCTCGCCTTCATGGTACTGGGCTGTGGATGATCTTCTTAGCGCCAAGGCCGGATTAACCATATGGGCAATTGGGCAATTGCCCA